GGAAGGTTACTGGCCAGGGAGGGGAGGATACTGGGTTAGGGTTGGGAATGGTAAATGGGGAGTGAAACTAAAAGTACACTTAACGTTGAATGTAAAACAAACTCGTTAAAAAAAACTGTCCACAGCAGACAGATCTATAGAGCCAAGTAGTTAAGTGGTTGCCTAGGACTGATGGGGATTAGGAGGTGATTGCTACTGGGTATGGGATTTCTTTTTTCAGATGATATATGTGTCCTAAATTCTGTAAATATAATTAAAAAAAACCCACCACTGAATTATATGCTTTAAACGGATGAATTTTATGGTATGTAAATCATACCTAATAAAGTTGTTATAATAAATAAGTAAATAAAGGAAAATGAGGAGAAAAAATTTTTTAAAAAATTTTTCTTTCCCGTCAATGTTTTCTTTTATAGATACAACCCAAACAATTGCCTGAAGGCCAAAGTACAGTTCCATATGTGTATTTGGATGTTATATCAAAGCATTTTTCACGTGCAAAAAAAGTACCAATAACCTATGACAATGGATTTCTCTTCATTCATACAGACAAACCTGTTTACACTCCAGACCAGTCAGGTAGAGTATAAGATACTTCTTTCTCCATGGGGAGAAAAAATTGACACTGTATTGTTTAACTTGTTAACACTGAAATTTAAGTAGGCACTGGTTTTCAGCTTGCTCAAGAGTCGCAATTCCTAATGACATTTAAATTTGTTAATAACGTCCGAATTTTAATTTTATATGGAAATTGATAAATTGCAAAATCAATAATTTTATTATTTGTCCTATCATTTATTCTAAGTATTAAAATATTTTTTAAAATTATGAATTATTGTGCTATGTCTTATTTATTAAACAAATATAAGACTTACTTCTAAAAAAAATTTTGGCAATGGGAAAATAATTTATTATAGAGCCTTTTTTTTAAGTTCATTGACTTTGGAGCTAATCTCCAAATTTGGGAAATAAATCCAACTTCAAAGGATCAAAAACAAATGCTTTAGCAAAGAATAAACTAGATCACAGAATTATACAAATATTAATTTTCTAAGGGGCTCCACCTAAGAAAGAGTCTGTTAAAACAATGTTCCATATTCATGGTTCTGTTTTTAGAGGGGAAAAGGTCAGGATAGTCAGTGAAAACCCTGTGATTAAAAGGAATGGCTAGAATTATTCCCTATGTACACAAAGTGTGAAGCTGCCCAAATATGTCCATGTGTTTGCAATTCTTTAATTCTCACATTCCTCTCCCTTACCCATATTGCCTTTTGAGCAGTGACAGGATTATGAGAGAAGAGTATGTGGGGAGGAAGGAATGTGACAAGAGGCAGTTTGGAGAGGGTATGGAGTTTCAGTCAAGATATTCCTACTGAAGAACAGATGGAGGGAGGAAAGACCAACCAGCTTTGTTGAAAAACTGAATGCAGGGCATTCTCACTAAGTGTCGGTTGATGTAAATAACAGTAGTGGGATGGAATGGGGCTACACCATTATTGTTTCAGCAGAAGCACCTTTTTTGATGGCTCAGCAAAGCCTAGAGAGGGTGGTGATATTGCCATCATTTTGGACAGAAAGTCATTGTTAGACTCAAAGATGACTTGGTATATAAGGAAACAGTCTTTGCCCGTGAGACTTGGGTCCTTTTGAACATAATCATAGCTAGCAAGAAGTGAAGCCTCACTCTTATCATCCTCCTATATCATAGGATTCATCCTTAATTAGATCCTGTTGACACTACCTCTGTGCTTGTCCAGTAAGGAATCTGATACCTAGGGCCTGAAGTCTTTCTTAACTATCAAGGCTTTCCTTAAGAACTGCCTCATTTATTATTTCTCTATCAGGAATTTGCTATAAGAAGATGTGGTATCCTCATCTATTCTAATCATGGAGAAAAATTAGGGAACTTTCTTAAATATTGACCCCTTAATAAGAGCTAGACTTTGGAGGCAGCTTGTCTGGGTTCAAATCCCAGTTTTGGCAGTTATTAGCAAAGTGACCCTAGACAAGTTACTCAACTTCTCTGTGCCCCACTTTCCTCATCTGTGAAATGGAAATAATAATAGATCTTACCTCTTAGGGTTGTTTTAGAATGAAATGAACTCATACATATTTTTTGTTTTGGAACACACAGTAGGAACTTCTTCTTGTTATTGTTATGTGCCGTCGAGTTGGACCCGGCCCATAGAGACCCCTTCTTGGGTTCCCAGGGCAGTATCCCTATGGAAGTAGATTGCCCCATCTTCCTTCCGAGGAGTGATTGGTGGGTTTGAACCATCAGCCTTCTGGTTAGCAGTCCAGTGCCTTAGGCACTACACTATCAGAGCTCCTAACTAAGAACTAGGAGAGAGGTTTCCATTGTTATTTAATCCATGGAGTAGCACAAAGTTTTATTTTACCCGGAAGAAAAAGAATTCCTTAAAAGTAAATTTTTTGTTTTGTTTTGTTTTGTTTTGTTTTAAGAATGATCACATCTTGCCATTTATAGCTCAATGGCCTAAGGGACACATTTAATCTGAAGATCCTTGAAGAATTTTTAGTATAAGCATCTTTAGGATAAGGGAGCTCTGGTGGCATAGTGCCTAAGGTACTTGACTGCTAACTGGAAGTCTGGTGGTTCAAACCTACCAGCCACTCCTCAGAAGGAAGCTGGGGCAATCTACTTCCGTAGTGATACTGCCTCGGAAACCCAAGGAGGGATCACTATGAGTCGGGGCCAACTTGACGGCACATAACAACAGCCTCATCCCTATTGCCACACCATCTTTTTTTTAAATTGTGATTTGGGTGAAAGTTTACGGAGCAAATTCACTTTCCATGCAGTAGCTAACATATACTTTGTCTCATGACATTGACTACAATTTACCACAATGCAACAGCTCCCATCCCATTTCCTCCCCATAGTTACCTCTTCCCTGTGCCCTTCCCTCCATGCACTCCTGCCACCCCCCCCCAAACTGTCTCCCTGTGCATACACAGCCCTTCTATTCTCACATGATTGATCTCTCCAGAGAGTGTATCTACCTAAGGTAAATGTTCAGCTCATATGCCTATCTTTTGTTTAGCTGGAAGCCACAGGAGTGGGTTCAGTTCCAGACCTGAAGGGCAGCTAGAGGCCATAGCCTCAGTAGTTTCATCAGGTTCTATCAGACCAGAAAACTTTTTTTTTTAATGATTGTGAGTTTTGATGCACATTGTTCTCACTCTCTATCCTGGATCTCCTACATAGATCCCTCTCCGAGTGGTTGACAGTGGTAGCCGGGTACCATCTAGTTCTTCTGGTCTCATAGTCATATAGGCTGAGGATTGCATGGTGCACAAGTTGCTTGGACTAGTTGTTTCCATGGGTCTTTGGTTTTCTTCATGCTTCTTTGCTCTGAATGAGAAGAGACCTATCATTGCATCTAGATGGCCACTTGCAAGTTTTTAAGATTCCAGTCACTACTTGGCAAAGTAGGACTTTGTAGGATTCTACTATGAAATTCTTGATAAACAATGGTTTAATTACAGGTATACCTGATTTTGTACTATGGATGATTCCCTAAAAGTTATATTAAATGTATGTTAATAAACAGAAAAGTTCTTTAAATACACTAAAAGAAAATATTTAAAGGAATCTAAGAGAATTCTTTTTTTAATGCATTTTATTGAAATGTAATTTATGTATACAGTGAAATACACAAAACTAAAGTGACATGGGTCAATGCTTTTTTTTTTTTTTTAACAATGTTCCCTCCCCTCCCTTACCAGCCCTGGTAACCAACAAAGAAAGTTCTCTTCCATATATAAACCTTTCCTTGATTTTTTACAATAATGAACTAATACTATATTTGTCCATCTGTGATTGACTTCTTTTACTCAGCATAATATCCTCCAAGTTCATCCATGTTATGTGCTGTTTTGCAGATTTTACATTATTCTTCAGGGTTGCATAGTATTCCATTGTGTGTATGTACCACAGTTTGGTTATCCATTCTTCTGTTGATGTGCATGTAGGTTGTTTCCATCTTTTTGCTATTGTAAATAGTGCGGCGATGAACATGGGTGTGCATATATCTGTTCTTGTCCTGGCTCTCACTTCTTTAGGATATATACCTAGTAATGGGATTGCTGGGTCAAATGGTATTTCTAATTCCAGCTTTTTAAGGAATTGCCATACTGTTTTCCACAGTGGTTGTATCATTTTACAGTCCTACCAGCAATATATGAGAGTCCCAATCTCTCCACATCCTCATCAGCGTCTGCCATTTTCTGTCTTGTTGAACTTTGCTATTAGTGCTGGGGTGAGATGGTATCTTATTCTTGTTTTGATTTGCATCTCTCTGATGGCTAATGATCATGAACATTTCTTTATGTATTTGCTGGCTGCCTGAATATCCTCTTTGGTGAAGTGTCCATTCATGTCTTCTGCCCATTTTTTAATTGGATTGTTAATCTTTTTGTTGTTAAAGTGTTAAAGATAAGTCCCTTGCCAGATATGTAATTATCAGCAAATATTAATTTGTTGCTGTTATTTTTGTCATGTGCTTTTTCATTGTTTTGATTTCTTTGTTCCAAATAATTTTCTATGATGAGCTCATTTTGTTTATGAATCATGTTATCACTTCCTTCATTGCTATTGTTTTAGTATTTGTGAATATTTATGGGTTCTCTGTCCAAAGGACTCCCTTTAGCATCTCTTGTAAGGTTGATCTGGTTTTAACAAATTCCCTTAATTTCTGCTTATCTGGAAAATGCCCTAATTTCACCATCATATTTGAAGGACAGTTTTGTTGGGTACATAGTTCTTGGTTGGAAATTTTTCTCTTTCAGGGTTTTATGTATAGCATCCCATTGTCTTCTCTTTTGCATGATTTCTGTCGAGAAATCTGAGCTAAGTCTTATTGGTTGGCCCTTGTAGGTAACTTTTTGTTTTTCTCGTGGTGCTTTCAGGATTCTTTCTTTGGTTTTGGTAAATTTGATGATGATATGTCTTGGTGATTTTCTTTTGGGCTCTATCCTATTTGGGGTTCATTGGACTTCTTGAATGGATATATTCTCATCTTTCATCATATCAGTAAAATTCTCTTCCAACTAATCTTTGACAATTTTCTCAGTGGTTTTATTTTTCTCTACCTGTTCTGGAATTCCAGTGACACGTAGGTTATTCCTTTTGATGGTATCCCACATGAACCTTAGGCTTTCTTCATTTTGTTTTGATCTTTTTTCTGATTGTTCCTTTCCAAAGAAGTATTGAGGTATTTGCCTTCAGTCTCACTACTTCTATCTTCCATTGATTCAGTTCTACTCCTTTCATCTATTTCTGAAAATTTAGTATTATTCTTCTGGATTTCTGTCTGTAGATTTTGTATCATTTCTAATTTTTCATTTATTTTGTCATTTTGTTCTTGTATTGTCTTTTGAAATTGTTCTCAGGTTTTCTCTGTGTTTTCTTCAGTTTTGTCAGTGTTTTCCTTGATCTGTCTCCCAGTGCATTGAAGGTACCTAAATATAATTCTTTTGAATTCCTTATCAGGGAATTCCAATGCTGCATCTTCCTCAGGGATGTGTTTTGAGTCTGTATCCTAGTCCTTTCTTTCTCCTGCTTTATCTTGCTTCTTTGTGTGGACTGTGATGCTCTGTAGTCTCCGAGGTATTGTGACTTTTTTGTGTTTATATTTAATTGGTGATTGTATGTTGGAGTGACTTGCCCACGATTTTTGTTTTCTTTGTATATTATCTACATACGCAGGGTACTGTGTCGTGCTCCTCTAATTGCTAGTGGGCAGCATTTATATACTCTCCACCTGTCTCCTTTCCTGTTGTCTGCTTCCTGTATGTTCCTGCCATTCTTGGCAAACGGAGCCTATTCTTATGTCCCTGGAATCAGAATGAGAATGCTGTCACTTTAAAATCCAAAATGGCTTCTGCTTGTAAACATTCAAAATGACTGTGCCCTTGGTCACTTTCAATATCCAAAATGGCTGCCACATGTAAACAATCAAAATGGCTGCACCTTCCAGACAGCTGAAAGTCCACAGCTCAGGTTGTCTTCCTCCTTGCTATTTCCCTTCCTGGTCAAAGGCCACCAGTGCAGTCATCCCTGCAGCCCTTGGCGACCATGGCTGATCTTTAGGTCAATTCTCAGGTCCCAACACCACTTAGAAATATTCAGGCTGTCAGTCCTATCAGAGTAGCTGATAGTCCACTGCTCTGACTGTCTCCGTACTCACTGTTTTCATTCAGGTTTTTCCACTACTTGGTGCCTAATCCACTTCTGTATACTTCCTTTCAAAGCTCAGGGCTCCAGGATTATCTTCTGTATCTCTGTCAATTGCTTTCTCTTTTCTTTGTTGTACAGGGTCTGTGGAGCTTGTCTGCCTATCCCACCATCTTACCTTCTAAGAGAATTCTTAAAAGAATCTTTTGTATATGTTTGCAAACTATCCTTTTCTTTTTTTAAAATATGGATTTTTTAAAATACATTGATTACATGTTATTTTTTTATTTAAATGGGACTCATCTTTTTTAAGAATGATTGTTTTATTAGTCCTAGTGACTGGTATACCATGTGATCCTCAGCCTATATGACTGTGAGACCTGAAGAACTAGATGGTGCCCAGCTACCACTGTCAACCACTTAGAGTGGGATCTATGTCGGAGATCCTGGATAGAGAGGGAGAACAATGTGGAACAAAACTCAAAATCATTTGGAGAAAAAAAAAGGGAGGACCAGGTTTGTTGATCTGATAGAGCCTGATGGAACCACTGAGTCTATGGCCCCTAGCTGCCCTTCAGGTCTGGAATTGAACCCACATCTGTGGCTTCCAGCCAAACAGAAGACAGGCATATGAGTTGAACATTTACCTGAGGTAGATACACTCCTTGGAGAAAACAATCATGGGAGAAAGAAGGGCTGTTTATGCACAGGGAGACAGCTCAGGGGGCAGGAGTGCATGGAGGGATTGACACAGGGAAGAGGTAGCTATCGGGAGGAAGTGAGGAGGAGCTGTTGCATTATGGTAAATTGTAGTCAATGTCTCAATGTCATAAGATAAAGTGTATGTGAACTGCTGTATGGAAAGTAAATGTGCTCTGTAAACTTTCACCCAAATCACACACACACACACACACACACACAAAATCCACCAGCCACTCCATGGAAGGAAGACTGGGTAATCTACTTCCGTAAAGATTTGCTGCCTTGGAAACCCAAAGGGAGTCCCTATGAGTCAGAATCCACTCAGTGGGAGTGAATTTGGTTTTGGTAGTATTTCCCATCACTCTTACAAGTTAGATATGAAAAGCTCACTCCATAGAACCAGTTTATTTTCTCCTTAAAAAAAAAAGAGAACCCACTGCCATCAAGTTGATTCCAACTCACAGTAACCCTTACTGGGTTTCCAGGGCTATAGATCTTTGCAGAAGTAGATTGCCTCATCTTTCTCCCACAGAGTAGCGGGTGGGTTTGAGCTGCCAACCTTTGTTAAACAGCCAAATGCCTTATCCACTATGCCACCAGAGCTCCTTATTTTCTCCTTAAGTCTGTGAAAATTTATCTGATGCCATCAGATGCCAGAGCATGTAAATGGTAAGTCTCTGTCCTTGGGTGTAGGATAAGGCTTATAATCCCATCAGTATAATTTCACTCCACAAACAACTGTCTTTATTAAATTAAATTAATTTTTTTAAAAAATGATTGTTTTAAAAATGAAAAGACCCTTGTGTTTGGCAGAGGTTTTTAATGATGCCAATTATTCTTACAGTAAAGGTTAGAGTTTATTCATTGAATGAAGACTTGAAGCCAGCCAAAAGACAAACTGTCTTAACTTTCATAGTAAGTATGTTTTTCATTTAAGTAATAATTTTCTTATTCCCAGGATGAGATTTATCATTCCATAATCCTGCCTCACACTTCACTGAATCATTCAATGCTTCATAAATCGCTACTGAACACCTACTCTGAATATAACATCGTAGGTCTGTGTTGTATATGTCAATAGACATATCTGAAAAACTCCTAGATAGTAAGTTTCTATAAGTTGAAGGATTTATAACTAAACCATTTAATTATTTCTTTTGTGAGTTCTTTTTAAAAGAACATCAATCAATCATGAAGAATTAATTGAGTATCTATTATATAACAACAACCTAACAACAACATTATATATATGATTTTTGATTTGTAGAATTCAAGATAAAGAATTATACTTACACTTAAGTAACTTAGAATTTGTAACTGACATACTAACAATGTGAAAAATAGTGGTAAAGCATGAAGTAAACATCAGCTGTCTAACATTTGTCAGACATGAAATAAACAACAGATGATAAACACATGTACAATGAAGTCCCTTGCTCTTATCCAGTTTGTGTTGCACCCCTAAGAAATTTTTGTGGAAAATGAAATATTACATAGTATCCCCTATTAACAGTAGGTGTGTTAGTAATGGTTCTTCATGATAGGTTGGAACACTTTCTTCTACTCAAAAAACAAACATAACTTAGAATGCAAGTGAAAAGACAGTACTGTGTTGGAATAACTTTGAATCCTCTCTAACTTTCAAAGATCATAAACCTTTCACAAACTTTAATATCAAACTATTTTAAAATCAGTTACTTGTAAAACAACAGAGTATTCTAAGATTGTGATTGACAACTATTGACATGTTGTTGTTATGTGCCGTTGAGTCGCACCTGACTCATAGCAACCCCTCCTTGGGTTTCCGAGGCAGGCAGTATCACTAAGGAAGTAGATTGCCCAAGCTTCCTTCCGAGGAGTGGCTGGCGGGTTTGAACCGCCAGCCTTCTGGTTAGCAATCAAGTGCCTTAGGCACTACGCTACCAGAGCTCCTAACTATTGACACAGACTATAGTAAACCCAGGAGCTCAGAAAAGAGAGCGCTCACAGAGTCCAAAGGAGGCTTCAGGGAAGAGTTGGATTTGAACTGGGCCTGGAACAACGAGTAGAATTTAGATATGCAGTGAAGTGGGAGAATTTCTAGAAAAAGAACAAAAGAGAACAAATAGTGTGAAAGCAGTTAGAACAGAAAGAATCCAATCTGAGAGCAGAGGCAACCCTGGAAAGTGGAAGGAGACAAAAGATTTGAAAGTTAGAATAAGGCCAGACCTAGAATTTAAGAGTCCTACAACCTGCCACCCAAAGTCATAATTACAGATTTATGGCACAAGTCTTGGTATAGCAAGGAGCCTTGCTACAGTAGAAGTGAGGGTATGTGGAGCAGGGGAAACCACTCAGGACTGCTGCAGAAATCTAGACGCAAGGAGCAAGGGTGTGGGCTTGGCAGCAGGAGGAATGCATAGAGAAGCCTTGCAGACTGCGGGAGTGAGGGGATGAGGAGAGGAAGCAAGCAAGAGTGGCATGGCCAGAAATGAGGAAGCTGCTTTACAGAAGAGAAGATAAACCTGAGTGATGCAGAATCCTGGCCCCTCACAAGGAGGCACGGTTGCCAGTTGTCCCATGTGAGAGCTGCCCTGGGAAGAGAGGCGGCTAGCTGGACTAGCGGAGGGTCTTGAACCACAGATTACGGTATCTATCCCAGAGTAATAAGGAATAGTGTGTAGAATCATCCTAACATGGTACTTGAGAGAGATCATCTTAGAAGCATTGTACCCAGTAGGCTACAGGGATAAAGTACAGCTAGGAGTTTATTTAGCTATGATTCTAATTCTTGTTCAAAATCAAGGGGGAAAAAAAAAAAACACCTTAAAATCCTGACCATAGATTTCGTAATCCTGGCAAATGGTGGTAAGCTTCCGAATTAAGGCCGAAGTGGACTGCCAAATGTTGTCCAAAGAAAGTTAAAACCTCATTTCAATTTTCTAACCCAAACACTAAGTGAACTTGGTGGGGAAACTTTATGAAAACTTTCAAGATTATGTAACCATTTTGAGTGTTGTTATCAAGTGCCAAATGTCCCTATTTCACAGTTACAAAATATCTACTTGAGAAATACATTTATAGCAGATTTACTTTAGAAAACTTTGAATAAGCCTATGTAAAATTTAGATTCTGGTATCTTTAAACCCTCAAAATCCACATTTGATTAATAATAATATCATTTTTTTATTTTTGTATTTTGTTACATTTCTTTTTTTCATAAGGAACTCTTGATTGGTATGTGTGTGCATGTGTCTCTGTGTATGTGTGTATGTGTTGGTGAAGTAAGAGTTGGGGGAGGTTCCAAAAGATGGAAAGAAAAGGCTTAGATGAATCATATTTGCCTTCCAAAACACTTAATCTTCTTCTTTCATATTTAATTTGAAGACACAGGTATTTGCTGGTAAATATTTCTGTAGATTAAAAAAAAATTACATCATTAGTTAAAAGTTAAAAATATGGTTTCTGAGCTTTGAGCCTGTTTGTTTTTATTCAAAGGATCCTGAAGGAAAAGAAGTTGATCTGGTAGAAGAAAATGATTATACTGGAATTATCTCTTTTCCTGACTTCAAGATTCCATCTAATCCTAAGTATTCTAAAGTATTTGTTAGTAAAATTTTCTCCGAAAAGCACATCTGAAATTTTTGGTTGTGAAACAGATCACCAGTCTAAAGGAGACACCTGCTGTTAACAAAGGGTGTCATTGTGAAAGAAATGGGAATATGCAGAATCTTTTTAAGTCTAGTGAGAAGCTAGGCTCAGTTCTGGACAAGGCCCCCTACTCCTCAAACTCCTCCCCCCAATACGTCTCACCACTCTTTTATATATGTTGTTGTTGCTGTTGTTTGCCATTGAGTTGAACCCGACTCATAGCGACCCCTCCTTGAGTTTCTGAGGCAGTATCACTACGGAAGTAGATTGCCCAGTCTTCCTTCTGAGGAGTGGCTGGTGGGTTTGAACCGCTAGCCTTCTGGTTAGCAGTTAAGTGCCTTAGGCACTATGCTACCAGAGCTGCTCCTTTATATATATATATATAAACAAAAATTGAGAAGACGCAAAAATAGTCCACGGGTTTTTTTTTTCCCCATTAAAACTATCAACTCCTCACCCCTCAAGGAATTTAATAAACTTTTAGTTTAAAAGACTATTGTGGTTCCATCCCTCACTCAGAGTGTTAGAAAATAAATATTGATCCTCTCTAATCTGTGTCTCCAAGAAGGCAGATCCAAGAGGGAGGGTGTTCTTGAAGCCTTTTCTTCTATCTGGCTTCATGTTAAATTATGTGACAATGTGTTTAAACAGAGTCAATGTAATAACTATTTAGTAAGCATATTCCTAATCTGAGAGTGAGAGGTGCAAAATAGAAGAGAATCCACAGTCCTTGCTTTCAGGGAACTTAGAGCAGGACAGATAAGGCAAATGCACCTATAAATGGCCATATTGTTGTTGTTGTTGTGTGCCATCAAGTCAGACCTGACTCATAGCGACCCCTCCTTGGGTTTCCGAGGCAGTATTACTACGGAAGTAGATTGCCCCATCTTCCTTTCAAGGAGTGACTGGTGGGTTTGAACCGCCAGCCTTCAGGTTAGCAGTGAAGTACCTTAGGCACTATGCTACCAGAGCTCCTTAAATGGCTATGTTGTTGTTGTTGTTAAGTGCCGTCAAGTCGTTTCCGACTCATAGCGACCCCATGCACAGCAGAACGAAACACTGCCCGATCCCGCACCAGCCCCACAATCCCTGCTATACTCAAGCCCATCATCGCAGCCACTGTATCAATCCATCTCGTTGAAGGCCTCCCCCTCTTTCGTCGACCCTCCACCCTACCAAGCATGACATCCTTCTCCAGGGAATGGTCCCTTCTTACAACATGACCAAAATAGGTGAGACGAAGTCTGGCCATTCTTGCTTCCAAGGAGCATTCTGGCTGCACTTCCTCCAGGACAGATCTGTTAGTTCTTTTAGCAGTCCACGGTACTTTCAGCATTCTTCGCCAGCACAAATGGCTATAGTAGGACTTTAAAAGAAACTCATTTTATGGTTATATCTGCACCGTTCTCTAGAAGAGTGTTAGCAGTTAACTCACTATACTGAAAATTTTCTAGAAATTTGGATGAATTGGGAGATGTGAATAATTTGGATAATCTTAAAATTGCAAAGCTCTGGTGGCTTTATCTATCTGATTTATAGTACAGAAGTGAGCCGATTATTTTGTTACTGTTATCATTGCTCCACTTCATCTTGTGCCCTTTGGTCCTGGGCAGATTATGTTTCTGGCTATCATGACAAGTACTTTCCCGCTTCCGTACCTTTGCACACATTGTCCCCTCTGCTTAGGATGTGCTTCACTTTGCTGTCCACAAAAATGGCTACTTCTCATTCTTTGTTGTTGTTGTTGTTATGTGCCGTTGAGTCAAACCCGACTGACTCATAGTGACCCCTCCTTGGGTTTCCGAAAGAGTATTACTACGGAAGTAGATTGCCCCATCTTCCTTCCGAGGAGTGGCTGGTGGGTTTGAACCGCCAGCCCTCTGGTTAGCAGTCAAGTGTCTTAGCTACTATGCTACCAGAGCTTCTCGTTCTTTAGAACACGGGAAATGCAGCCTTTCAAAGAAGTCATCCCTGAACATTGATCTGATGTAGTTTCTTCCTTCCTTTTCCTATCTCAGCATCTTACTTATTTTCTTCATGATGCTAATCTCAATTTTATAATTATTTATTTCTTCATTTACTTGCTTTTTTATTCCCCATTATACTGTAAAATTCTTGAAGGCAGGGGCCTGGTCTGTCTTGCTCACTGCTGTATCTCCAGCATCTCAACATCATCATCATCATCATCATCATCATAAAGCCACTGCCACTGAGTCAATTCTGACACATAGCCACCATATAGGACAGAGTTAAATTGCCCCATAGGGTTTCCAAGGCTGCCAGTCTTTACCAAAGCAGACTACCTCATCTTTCTTCTGTGGAGCAGCTAGTGGGTTTAAACTGCCGACCTTATGGTTTAACAGCCAAATAAAATGCTTTAACCACTAGCCACTAGAGCTCCTTTCAACATAATACACACTTGATAAATATTAATTGGGAGCTCTGGTAGCATAGTGGCTAAGACACTTGCCTGCTAACCAGACGACTGGCGGTTCAAACCCACCAGGCACTCCTCGGAAGGAAGGTTGGGCAATCCTACTTCCGTAGTGATACTGCCTCGGAAACCCAAGGAGGGGTCGCTATGAGTCGGGTTTGACTCGACGGCACATAACAACAACAATAACAAATATTAATTGGAGTTGTGTTGATAATGATAAGAATAATAACTATAATAACGCATTCCCTGATTATATAAACAACCTGCAAATTAGGTCATTGTTCTCTCCCTCCCCCATTTTACAACTGAGGTTAAATGAGTTGTCCAAGTCCAACCTACTAGGAAATGGAGACGTCGAAATGCGAATGCCTGTGGCCTGGTAGCTCTATGAAGGGAGAGACGGTTCTATCTTATTCACTTTTGATCTCCAATTCTTAATTCAGTGCTTAGTAAATATTGTTGAATGAAGGCTGCTAACCCATGTCTTTTCTTCTTTAAGCCATGGTTTGTATCTAACCATAATTTCATATAATGTGAGGTATGAATTTCATCAGCTGGATAGGCTTAACCTGTATAATATATTTCTAGAAATATTAGTATGGATTTTCTACTATATTGTGAATCTTAGTATCATGGTATTATAATTAAGCTCCAGGATTAAGTAAATTCTCAAGTATTATAAATCCTTCAAAACAAGATTTTTTACTATATTAAAAATAATTTAGAAAAATAATTCAATTTATGAAGAAACAAATTACTAAATGATTTCTATTATTCTGAAAATGCTCAATTATTTCTGTTTATCACTTAAAAAATAGTCAGAAATAAAATATATTACTTAAGCTCTCTATACTTTTACCTGTCTTTTCCTCTTTAAAGTTGGCATTAATTGTATCTCTTCTAGGTAGATTAGAAATATTTGATCATATCTGTAATTTTAAATATTTTGCTTCCTCAGATATGGTGTATGGACAATTCAAGCAAAATATAAAGAAGACTTTTCAACAACTACAACCGCATATTTTGAAATTAAAGAATATGGTAATTTGACAAGAATTAACGTTTTTATAATAATTGTTTTATTAATATGCATAACACAACATGAAGCAACCTGCTGGAATGGTACTGGCTGGTGTGGTGGTGGCTGTTTGAATGCCTAGATTCTAGTTCCCACATTTCCTTGTTAACATGGAGCAGATCCATCTTGCTGAACTTGTGTTCTTCATCATAGGGCCAAAAGTATCTAGTTTCATAAGAAGCTTGACAAACTAAGGTTCTTTCCAGAAGTATGATTTTAGGAGAACTTTGAACAGTCAGGGAAGTGGTGAGTGAAATCCAGTAAAATGAATAAAGGATTTACAATCAGTTAGTGACAGAACAAGAGCAGCCTCAGCTTTCTTTATTCCCAGTACAGCACTATCTTCTTTCTGGATCAGAAATCTCTATTTATTTGGAAATTTAATATGTTTATATTTTGAAATCAAACATATTGAATGGAGTAACAAGTAACACAAAAAAACCAGTTGCCATCCAATTGATGCTGACTCTTGGTCACCCGAAATGTGTCGAATAGAACTGTCCTCCATAAGGTTTTCAGAAGTAGGTCTCCAAGACTTTCTTCCAAGGACCCTCTGGGTGGATTCAAACTTCCAACCTTTGGGTTAGTAGCCAAGCGTGTTAATTATTTGCACCACCCAGGCACTAATAATTAACATACGAACAACTTAATCTTCCATTTCTTATAGTAATTTAATAGGGTATTTGTGTGGTCTGTTAACAAACTGAACTTTCTTCTATTTGAAGACACTTTTTTAAAAAAAAAATGCCATCAGCAGACTTATGATAAGAATAAAAAATGCAAAAATTTTAACAATTAGAAAGCAAAACCAAATTTGTTATAATGAAACTCAATATTAAAGATCATAGGCTCTCTATAACATGACCCAAACCAATTTCCCTTCCTCCAACTATTTTGTATATATCTAGAGGAAGATGGGGCAATCTACTTCCATAGTGATACTGCCTCAGAAACCCAAGGAGGGGTCGCTATGAGTCGGTCCGTCTGACTCGACGGAACATAACAACAACAACAACAACAGAGTTCTGGTTAGCGGTCAAATGCCTTAGATGCCTTAGGCACTGAGCCACCAGAATGCCTTTCAGGTTTTGTTTTTTTTTTTTTTTGGTAGAATTCTTTCATCTTTAACTTTCTGCAGCCACCCTCATCCATGTCATAACCACACTCCCGCCAATGGTGCTGCAAAGCCACCTAACTGGTGTCTTTATTGCTTGGAATTAGCCAAAGTAATCTTGAAATGAAAATCTGATTGTGTTATAATATTTCCATTGAAAATTCCTACTCCTTTTATGATAAAAACCAAAATCCTCATTGTGAGCTGTCTACCTACCTCTTGGGCCTTGTTTTATACCACTCTTTTCTCACTCCAACATCTGTGGCTTTGCACACAATTTCCGTTTGCCTGGAACACATTTCCCATCCCTCATTGTATAGCCAACTCCTATTCATGTTTCAATTCTTTGTTAAACAGCCCTTTCTTTAGGGAAGCTTCTTTGAATTCCTTTTCCTGGGTAGAAGCCCTTGGACTCCTTCATATCTGTTTGCACAACTGTAGTTTGGGTGATTGTGTGATTATTTATTTATGCCTGACTTCCCTGCTTGTCTGTAAACTCATCAAAGACGGGCTGTGTCTCTCTTATTCATGAGTATATCCCTGTTGATAGGAGAATGCTTGCCACACGGCAGGTCAATAGAGCATGATGCTAGTGTTGTTGTGTATCATCAAGTTGATTCTGACCCATAGCAACCCTGTAGGACAGAGTAGAACTGTTCATAGGCTCTCCTACACTAAATAAATAAATAAATAAATAATCCACTGCCAGTGAATTGAGTCCAACTCACAGTGTCCCCCACCGGGTTTTCAAGGCTATAAATCTTTATGGAAGTAAGTTGCCTCATCTTCCTCCCAGGAAGCAGCTGGTGGGTTTGAACCTCTGACCTTCTGGTTAGCAGCCAAATGCCTTATAGGGTTTCCTAGGCTGAAATTTTTACAGAAGAGATCACCAGGTCTTTTCTCATACGAAGCAGCTAGTGGATTTGAACTGCTGACCTTTCAGTTAGCACCCAAGCACTTAATCATTTTGCCATCAGCACTCCTTTATTTGATGATAGGATGAAATATTTTCCTACATCCAAAGATCAATTCCTGCCTTGATATTTTATAACAGGTTAGTAAATTGCACTGCTTTTCTACAGTACCTCTGGTAGTGTAGTGCCTAAAGCATGTGACTGCTAACCACAAGGCTGGCAGTTCTAGCCCACCAGCCACTCCTAGGAAAGAGGATTGGGCAATCTACTTCTGTATTGATACTGTCTCAGAAACCCAAGGAGGGGTCGCTATGAGTTGGATCCGACTGGATGGCAGTGAGTTTACTTCTAGCCTTTACCTTCTAAGTCACATGAGGCACATCTGAAGCTAACTCTTAAGTGTCAGTCTTTGTCCACAATATCAGGTTCATTCAGTCACCTAAGTTTCTATTAAATATTGTACAGGTCAATAGAATTACAGTCAATAAGCCCTGGCATCCTAGGTGTAAAGAGAAGACAGTGCTGTCTCTCACTGCTGACAAATCAATTCCAACTCATAGCGACCCCTCCTTGGGTTTCCGAGGTGGTACCTCAACAGAAGTAGATTGCCCAGTCTTCCTTCTAAGGAGTGACTGGTGGGTTTGAACCACCAGCCTTCTGGTTAGCAGTCAAATGCCTTAGGCACTACGCCACCAGAGACAGATTAATTTTCCCTTGGGCTCTCAAAATACCAAAGACAGAAAAATAATCAATAATTTCCTTTCTGAACTTTGTGTGAAAGTTTTTCTGTATAGTTAACAGTAAGCTCTCTCTGCTTTACTAAAGTCAGAGTATTATAATGACATTCTGGACATTGGGTGGATTTTATCTAAAAAAAGGAAAATGGAAAATGCCAAAGAGGCCAGAATTTTCTTTTCTATTTTCAGTTTAGCTCAATAAACATTTGTTGACCATATACTTTAAGACTTATGAGAAAGGTGAGAGGGAGATACACAAAGACAAAGAAAGAAAAGATTCTGTTTGTCTGTTTTCAAGGAGCCCATATTCTAGTTGAGGCAATAACCAACTGTCTGTAATAAGTGTGTAAGGAAAGTATTAGCGAAGTGCCACTTATACAAAGATGCTTTATGGACTTCTGATTGATGGACTGGGAAAGCTTCCCAGAAATATTATTACTGCTGCTGCTGTTGTTGATGATGATGATAAGAATGATGCTGTGTTGAAGTTAACAGCCTGTCCAACTATACCAAGAAGTTTAGTTGGGTGCTGTGTTTTAAAGGCAGCACTAGTTTAAATAGTAATGTTGTCTCTCTGTTTTTATTTTCAGTGTTGCCACATTTCTCTGTCTCAGTAGAACCAGAAAATAATTTCATCAGCTATAAGAACTTTAATAGTTTTGAAATTACTATAAAAGCCAGGTAAGAAAGTTATTATTTTCAGGTTATGTAGCTAAATTCATGTCTACCTTGAGTTTGGGACTGACTAAAGGGACTTTGGGACTAACCGACTCGATGGCACATAATAACAACAACAACATAGGTATCATGCCTGTAGTTTCTTTGCTGATTCTGATTTTAGCTGTTGGTTAAAAACAAACAAACAAACAAACTCATTGCTGTTAAGTCAGACCTGACTCATAGCGACCCCTACTTGGGTTTCTGAGACAGTGTCACTACGGAAGTAGATTGCCTAATCTTCCTTCTGAAGAGCAGCTGGTGGGTTTGAACCGCCAGCCTTCTGGTTTTAGCAGTGAAATGCCTTAAGCTCAGTGAATATGTGTAGGAACTGGCCTGACTTAGGGTATTGAGACTAAGTTATTAAGCCTTCACTTCTTGTCATTTTTTTAATGGGTTTATTAGTTAGCTAATGCTGTATAACTACTTGCCTTAAAACCACAACCGTTTATAAGTCAGCCTTGAAGTTCTGCTAATCTAGGCCAGGCTGACATCAGCTGAGCTTGCACATGCATCTGTAGTTATTGGCAGGTCAGCTGGGACTGGCTGGTCTAGGATGCTCTAACTCACATTTCTAGCAGTTGACTGGCAATCAGCTGGGGCAAAGGAAGATTGGGCCACATGTGCCTCTCATTATCCAGCCAACTAGACTGTGGCAGCAGCAGCACTCAAACAGAGAGAGCAAATGGAAGCATAAAAGTGCTCTTGATGACTAAGCTTGAAACTGGCACACCCTCACTTTCATCACATTCTTTTGGCCAAAGCAAATCACAAGGCTGATCCAGAGGAAATAGACACTGTCCCCCTCTATGACATCCTTTATTTACAAGAAAGTGCAAAGAGTACAGATATGGGAGAGATGCCTTGTATTAGTTTTATCTGAAAAACTGCCATAGCAACTTTAGTAATTTTAAAATGGCAATACCAACCAACCACCAAAAAAAAAAAAAACCCAAACCAAACTCACTGCCGTCAAGTCGGATCCGACTCATAGCAACCCCTCCTTGGGTTTCCAAGGCAGTATCACTACAGAAGTAGACTGCCCACGCAATCTTCCTTCCAAGGAGTGGTTGGTGGTTTTGAACTGCCAGCCTCTGGTTAGCAGTCAAATGCTTTACGCACTACAACCACCAGAGCTCCTAAAAAAAAAAAAAAAAAAAAAAAGGCAAGATAACTTAGTAATACCAAATTTTATAGCTCTATTTGTTAGGCACTTTTCTAAGCTTTTGCATGTATTAGCGCATTTATTCTTTACAACAACTCTATGAGTACATGGGGTCGCTGAGTCGGAGTCAACTCAACGGCACCTAACAAGAACAACAACATATGATGCTATTATTATCCCCATGTTTCAAGGGAAAAAAAAAAAACATAAATATTAAGGAATTTGCACAAGATCACACAACTACTAATTAGCACATCCAGTTTGATTCAGAGTCCATGCCCTCAAACACTACTCTATACTGCCTCTCTTATTATTTTTTCTGAAAATAGTGTCACTTAGTCTAGCCCAGCATAAAAGGCTCAATTGATGGAGAATTACAGAAACTGACTGCTTTTATTGGAGACATTTGTTTTACTTGTTCCAAATATGAATAAGAAAAGTAACTTTATAGTATTATTATTGTATAATTATAGTGTACAAATCTCTATGGAACTAGATTGCCCAGTATTCCTTCTGAAGAGTGGCTAGTGGGTTTGAACCACCAGCCTTATGTTAGCAGTCAAATGCCTTAGGCACTAGGCTACCAGAGCTTCTATAAAAATTATAGTATATACTATTTATAGTATTGCTATAGTATCACTTGCTGTGCAGAAAGTTTTCTGTATTCTTACTTAAGTGTAAACTGAGAAGTAAGTATCCAGTTAGAATTAAAAAAAAAAAAAAAACATTTTAAAATGACAATGTAACTCATATAACAATGAAACTAGGTAGGCTTATTTTAAAGACATAGAAGAAAATAGAGAGCAGTTCCCCACTGATATCAAATCATCAGGGCAGTAATGTGGCTTGCAGGAAAGGGCTCTGGACCTTAGTCTTGTGATCTCCCCAGGATCAATTTTTTTCATTAGCATATAGTAATTAAAATCTGTCCTCTAGCTTTATTATTATGGCCTTATGAGGCTGAAATGCTATAGTTGATGGAAGACACTTTAAAAATATCAAGCACTTGGAAAGTGAATTTGCTCTGTAACTTTCACCCAAATCACAATTTAAAAAAAAATAATAAGTACTTTATATAATTTCAGATTGTTACATTTTATCTGAATCTTATTGTTGTAGCTGTGTTAGCAAAACAATTTTATGGTATTCTTACTTGACAGGTATTTTTATAATAAAGTAGTCACTGAGGCTGAAGTTTATATCATGTTTGGAATAAGAGACGACCTAAAAGATAATAGAAAGGCAATGATGTCAAAAGCAATGCAAAGCACAATGGTAAGATGTTAAGACATGTTCACTCATACCTAAGGATATAAGTTTCTATCATGAATGTTGAGATGGAAAATGTATTAGTTTCCTAGGGCTTTCATAACAAAGAACTCAAAACTGGGGGACTTAACAGAAATTTATTCTCTCACAATTCTGGAGGTTGGAAATCTGGATTCTGGGTGTATGTAAGGCCGTGCTGTCTCTGAAGCCTCTCGGAGAAAATCCTTCCTAGCTTCTTCCAGTATCTGGTTTCCAGGCATTTCTTGGCTTGAGACAGCATAACTCTGGTCTCTGCCTCTATTGTCACATGGCATTCTTTCCTGTGTGTCTCTGTCTAAAACTCCTCTTTGTATAAGAACACCAGCCATGTTGGATTAGGGCTCACTTTACTCCATTGTGGCATGCAGTATACCAATTACATCTGCAAAGGCTCTATTTCCGAACCAAGAACAAGTGCAGGGGGTTAGGACTTGGACATTTCTTTTTTGAAAACATAAATCAACCCATATCATAAATTTCCTCAAAATCACATGGACCAGTCCTTCATTTTATAGAGATGTGGAAGCTGAATTTTAGAATTCTCCATTGGCTTCCCATTATCCTTAGGATAAAGTCCACTTTCCTTGACATCAGCTTCCCTCCCCAGCCTGTCTTGTGCCACTCTCCTCTTCTCACCCCCTTTTACTAATCATACCAGTTCTCAAATTTGCCATGGTCTTTCTTGCCTCCAGGTCTTTGGAACACTTCCTTCTACTTGGGGAACCACTTTTTCTTTGCCTTTTCCTACCCCTTCTTTGCCTGGCTAATTCTTTCTCCTTTAAGCCTCAATGTTGATGCTTTCTCCAGGAAGCCCCCGACTCCTCTAAGCTAGGTTACCTCTCCTGCTATGTACTCCAGAGGTCCTGAACCTCTTTATTAGAGAATTTTTCACACTTTATTGTAGTGGTTTTCACCCATAGACAATTTCCCCCTCCCAGAGAACACTTAGCAAAATCCAGTGACAATTGTGGTCACAACTAGGGGAGGGAGGTGCTACTGGCATCTTGTGAGTAGAGACCAGGATGCTGTTAAACATCCTACAATGTATGAGGCAGTCCCCCAAACAAAGAATTACCCAGTCCAAAATGTCAACAGAGCTGAAGTTGAGAAATCTTGCTTCATTGTAATGGCTAATTTGTTCAGTTATTATTCTTTACACGAAACTCTTTGTGGGTCTGACTTATTTCCATTACATGCCCAGAACCAGCATGATTTTTGGAGAATAGTAAGTGCTTTATATATATATATATATTTGTGAATGAATGGATGACCCATAGGGAAGTTATTTACCTGTGGTAAAGGGCTCGTGATTGCTGGGCCTGCAATTAGAGCCCTGGTCCCCTTTTACCTTGTTCAGTGTTCTTTACATTATGCCACAGATGACACAGTTCCATTATTTTTCTCTCTGTTGCATATTCATGTAGTTTGCATCATAAGTTATTTGGCCTTTGCTTCTTCAAAAGACAGTTTTATTTATTCAAGGTATAATCAAATGCCTTTTGTTATGCAAGACGCCTTGCTAGATACTGAGGTTTAAAACACTCAAGTCAATCAATGTAAGAAGAAAAATAAGGCCAAATCTACTTTATCATATTTGGTAATGTTATATGATTTAGTTCCATACCTCATTCCTCACTGAATGTTTTTACATTTGTAACTGGTGAAGTACAAACTAAATATTGTAAAACCCAAGTGAGATACCTAGAAAGATGGATGATGACTCAATGATAAGAAGAAGACATCTTTTGTTGGTTAGTGCAAAAAAGACCTGGGAGATATATTCTCTATTTAAGAGCAAGTTTCAGAGTCTCTTCTGACATCCATTTTGGTCTTTTTCTCCTTTCCTGTCTTTTTAATGACCTTTTGCTTTCCTCATTTATGATATTCTTAATGTCATTCCCTAACTCCTCTGGTCTTCAGTCACTGGTCTTCAGTGCATCAAACTTCTTCTTCCGATGATCTCTAAATTCAGGTGGGATATAATTAAGGTCATATTTTGGCTCTCATGGACTTGTTTAATTTTCTTCAGCTTCAGCTTGAACACGCATATGAGAAACTGCATGGTCTGTTCCACAGTCAGCTCCTGGCCTTGTTTTTACTGATGATATTGAGCTTCTCCATCATCTCTTTCCACAGATGTAGTTGACATGATTTCTGTGTAGTCTATCTCCCAAGGTCCACATGGATAGTCACTGTTTATGTTGTTGAGAAAAGGCATTTACAATGAATAAATCATTGGTCTTGCAAAATTCTATCATGCGATCGCCAGCATCATTTCCATCACCAAGGCCATATTTTCCAACTACTGATGCTTCTTTTTTGTTTCCAACTTTCTACATTCCAATCTCCAGTAATAATCAACACCTCTTGATTGCATGTTTGGTCAGACTGCAGAAGTTGGTAAAAATCTTCAATATCTTTATCTTTTGCTTTGGTGGTTAGTGTGTAAATTTGAATAATATTTGTATTAACTGGTCTTCCTCATAGGTGTATGGATATTATTCTAACATTGACAGCATTATACTTCTGGATAGATCTTGAAATGTTATTTATGATGATGAATATGATGTCATTCCTCTTCAATTTGTCATTCCCAGCATAGTAGACCATATGATTGTCTGAATCAAAATGGCCAATATCAGTCTGTTTCAGCTCACTAATACCTCGGGTATTGATCTTTAGGCATTCCATTTCATTTTTGACAATTTCCAATTTTCCTAGATTCATACTTCCTACATTCCATATTCTGATTATTAATGGATGTTTGCAGCTGTTTCTTACCATATTGAGTTGTGCCCCATCAGCAAATGAAGGTCCCAAAAGCTGTACTCCATCCACATGATTAAGGTTGACTCTGCTTTGAGGAAGTAGCTCTTCCCTAGTTGTATTTTGAGTGACTTCTGACCTGAGGGGTGCATCTTCCATCACATATCAGACAATGTTTCACGCCTCTTTTTTATGTATTTTGGGGCTCTTTCATTGGGTCCATAGATATTTATTATGGTTACATCTTCTTGTTCAATTGACCCTTTAATCATTATATAATGTCCTTCCTTGTTTCGTGGTTTTTGTCTTAAAGTCAATTTGATCAGAAATTAATATCGCCACTCCTGCCCTTTTACAGTTGCCATTTGCTTGATATATCTTTTTCCAACCTTTGATTTTTAGTCTATTTTTGTCTTT